ATTTAAATAAAAAATTTGCCAGTGCAACAAAATGCACTGCAATTAGCTATCTATCTATCTATCTATCTATCTATCTATCTATCTATCTATCTATCTAATACATACAAACACATATATGTCTGCACACACATACAGTTATGCACTTAATATAATATATAAATACAGCATACAAAAACTATGTTAAAAGAACATTATTAAGCTTGCAAAGTCTAGCACTCAAAAGTTAAGAAATGCCAGAATTTGTCCCTTGTGTGTTTGCATTATGATACGGTCTTGAATTACATGGTCACACAATTTTTTTCCACAGGACTGTTGACTCATTGAGTCCCCAATGGCTCCTAGTCCCAATCTTCTTTCCCAGAGTCCTCTCAGTTTCTCCCTGCACAGACTTTGGCATGATCTCTTTACCCAACCAGTCCTGGCTCCTAATCAGATCTGTCTGATCCCCCCCTTCACCTTCTTCCCACACCCACTAGTTCTCAGTCCCAGTCTCCTTGCCCAGCCACTCTCCGTCTCCCTGTGCCTCCTCATCTGGTTTCAGTCTCTTCTCTTCCAACTACTGGCTCACAGCACCATCAGCCCAGTCTCCACCATCCAGGGGTTCTCAAACTGGTGGTCGGGAGCCCTCAGGGGGTCATGAGGTTATTACCTGGGGGGTTGCGAGCTGTCAGCCTCCACCCCAAACCCCACTTTGCCTCCAGCATTTATAATGGTGTTAAATATATAAACAAGTGTTTTTAATTTATAAGGGGGGTTGCACTCAGAGGCTTGCTATGTGAAAGGGGTCCCAGTACAATAGTTTGAGAACCACTGCCTTACTCCCATTCCCAGTTTCCCTTTTCCCCTTCTCCCCACCAGCCTAAGGTTCCAGTCTTCAGCCAATCTATTCCCTAGTCCCCCAAATCCTGTTCTTGTCCCCTACGCATTCAAATCACACGGCTTCCTCCTCTTTGTGGCTTCATCATGGGGGGATCGGAGTGAGGAGAGGGTCATTGAAAGCACAGGAGAAATAGGTTTCCTGCTCTCAATTTAGGTGCCTGGACTCTCACCCAGCCCTGGCACAGCTTGCAGCCCAGAACTACAAGCTTGCTGGGAAAGTTCTGCTTAGCCCCATGCTGGACTATGCTTGGTGCAGACAGAATCTTGGGGAATTTAGCTGCTATAATCGAAGAAACTTATGTGTAATGTGATTTTTTTTAAAAGGCTTATAAATTGGCCAGATTTGGCCAGTTTTTCACAAGGACAGTGAAAGCACATCTCTGACAACAACTGTCAAATTTCAAGCCCTTGCTCCAACGCATGGGGATGCTACAGCTTTCCAAAGCAAATGAAGCCAGAATTTTTTAATGTGGGCAAAACAATGTATTTTTCCCTAATCTTGTTCTCGGGAACAGTTGATTGGTTTGGCTGAAATTTTCCCTAATACAAATCCACCTGAGGCAGATACCCATCATGCAATATTGCAGCCCAAATGGTGACAGTTTGGTGAAGTTGTAAATAATTGAAAATAAAGTCTCATAATGGAGTAGTTATAATATTATTGTCATATCTATTTCCTATATCGCCATACCACCCCAATGATTTTATAACCTTAAATATCTTACACAAAAGAAGAGTTGATACTTCACCACATATTACATATATATATTTGAAAATTATAATACACGCATCTGTCCATAGGTGGGAGACGCAGCCAAGATGTCTCAGGTGTTACTTAATGGCTAGAGGTCTAATTAACATATTTCTGGAGGGAAGGTCTACCTGCCACACACAGCTGTTCTGAAAGACTCGAGGGGATTCAGGTAGCATGGAGGAATAATGCATGCGGTTGTAGTTATTCAGCAGCACATCTGAATCGAACATGTAAAGGCGGCTTTGTCTATTATGCTGCCTTTTCAGGCCAAGTTGATAATGCTAGTGTCGGTTTCAAGTGAAGCGTGTGCCAGATTACAGATAGCTAGTGCTGGCATTTGAGAGCCGTTAATTGTGAAACTTGAGAAGAAAATGGGCGCATTCTTTCTAAGACAGCTATTCAGGAGATGGCCTTTTTATCCCCGAGCACTGTGGGTTTCACTTTTATTCCCTTCCCACATAAAATGCATGGAGTGCACTGAGGCTCTTTCACTTGGCAGCTCCTCTATTGCATTCTTTGCCGGGGCTGCTTTGGCTTGTTAAAATGTGCCCCGTGTATTCAAATGAAATTGTTACTGCTGTGTGGTGCAACATAACGTGGTTTGACACTAAGCGCCCGTAGCTACAGAAAACAGCCTTTTCTTGCATTTATGCTTTCAGAGACAAGAGTCTCTAAAGGCTTGCTGCAGACATTCGCTTAGTTAAATCTGAATGAAGCCAAAGTGAACAATCTAAGTTGCTGCCTTTGTGCTCGTGGAAACAGCCCATCCTACATGATATGGCAGTAAAAACTGAGCTACAAAAGACTGTCTCATGGTTAGAACCCAGAAGGGACAATTTTAATGGTTTCACCCAAAACAAATTAACAAAAAATTTTGTACTGCTTGGACTATTAATCAGCCTATTCTCTTTCTCAGTTTTTTTTCTAACTCTTGGCAAACTCCTATCCAAGGAGATAAGCCGACCCTCTCAGCGCTGGGTTAAGGCTCTAGAGAATATATATGCTCTGCAGAATGTTGTTCTTTCCCCCCTTACTAGTCTGTGGTAGGAGTTGTATAGGAATTCATTTAAGAAGGATCTTGACTTGAGAATGAAGTAATACTTAAGTCATTAGAGTCTCCTAGCTGGAAGTATCAGAGGGGTAGCCGTGTTAGTCTGGATCTGTAAAAGCAGCAAAGAGTCCTGTGGCACCTTATAGACTAACAGACGTATTGGAGCATGAGCTTTCATGGGTGAATACCCACTTCTTCGGATGCACACCTAGATCAGAATCAAAATATGGAACGAGTATTGAATATAATCTTTCAAGAGAGCTCTCCTGAAGAAAAAAATCCGCAATGTGATATCTGTAGTTTCTTTGCTGCCTAGTTATGAGTCGTCATCCCTGTCCCCCCTCCCCAAACATTTTAATTCCTATTGTGCAGCATGGGCAACTGTTCTCAGCATCAGTTAGCCTGCTGAGGGGTCTGGTCAGGTCTTGTAAAATGGCTTGTACATTTCTTAAAGTGATATAAACTCGGCCCAGGATTTGGCTCAGACCTCTGTATTCTTTCTAATCACTTCAGTCCTATAGGTGCTTATTTATTATTACTGCTGCAGTCCTATGGATATCTTAGAACTATGATTCACAATTATATCAGGTGAATGATGAGTCATTTCACCAGGACAAGATCATGTGCAGTAATGTCTGTCTCCCTCCAGGGCTTGGACTCATGTAATTTACAAGTACAGATTGATGTTGGTTTTGTTTTATAATCAATTTTCCATAATTTATTTACTCTGTAATAATGAAATCATAGAAATGTTCTCAATGAAAGCTTCTCAAGTCCAGGCCGCTATGCTTAGGCAGTCCCATGTAGACCTAGATTATCACTGACAGCGGGTTATCTAACCTCTTCTTAAAAACGTCCAGTGATGCTGATCCCACAACTTCCCTTGAAAGCCTGTTCCAGTGTTTAATTATCCTTATAGTTAGAAAGTTTCTCCTAATATTTAACCTAAATCTCCCTTGCTGCAATCGTTTCTTGTTCTGCCTTCAGTAGATATTGACAGCAGTTGATCACCATCCTCTTTATAACAGCCCTAAAATATGTAAAGACTTTTATCAGCCCCCCTTTAGTCTTCTTTTCTCATGACTGAACATACCCAGTTTTTTAAATCTTTCCTCAGAGGTCAAAAAGCAAGAGAGAGTCCTGTGGCACCTTTAAGACTAACAGATGTATTGGAGCATAAGCTGCATGCGTCTGATGAAGTGGGTATTCACCCACGAAAGCTTATGCGCCAATACATCTGTTAGTCTTAAAGGTGCCACAGGACTCTCTGTTGTTTTTTACAGATCCAGACTAACATGGCTACCCCTCTGATACTTGACCTCATGGGTCAGTTTCTCTAAAACTTGTATCATTTTTGTTGCTCTCCTCTGGACTCTCTCCCCTTTTGTCCACATCTTTCCTAAAGTGTACCTCCTGAAACTGGACACACTACTCTAGTTGAGGTCTCAGCAGAGCCAAGTAGTGTGGGACAGTTAAACTCCTGTTAGTACATCCCAGAATAATATTACCCTTTTTTGCAAATGTCTGCAATTGTTGGCTTATATTCAATTTGTGATCCACTCTAACCCCAAGATCCTTTTCTGCTGTACTACGGCTTAGCCAGTTATTTCTCATTGTGTAATTGTGCATTTGATTTTTTTGCTTGTTCTTTAATTTATCCAGGTCATTTTGAATTTTAATTCTTTCCTTCAGAATACTTGCAACCCATCCCAGCTTGGTGCCATCTGCAGATTTTATAAGCATGTTCTCCACCCCATTATCCAAGTCATTAATGAAAACCTTGAATAGTACCACATACATGATAGACCCACTAGTTTCTTCCTTCTCATTTGGCAGCAAACCATTGATAACTACTCTTTGAGTAGTTTAAAAAAAATTGTGCACTCACTTTATAATCCTGCATTATTGTCATTTTACTCCCCTTCAGTTTTAGCTTAGATCCTGTATCTTTTGCACATTCTTTGGGGGCATTTTGGGTGCATCAGAAATTTGGAATCAGGTCCTGAGCTTTTTTCAAGAAACATTTGACATGTCCTTGTTTGAAATGCTCCCTAAGACTCAAAAGCAAGCTGTTCACTGCCATGGTTCCAGCCTGCATGCAGCCAGGAAAAATGCTGCAATGCTTGATAGTGGCAAGTTCTCCTTGCTAGCTAACACCATATTGTAATGAACGGCTCCACCTGCATCTCTGCAGAATTCAGCAAGAGCAGCTTTTGAGATTTCTCTCGACATCTGTGTCGGGCCTTCCTTTGCTGACTGCACACTTTCATAAAACTCTAATAATAATTGCTTCCCCCTCCCCCTTTTCTTTTCCAGAATGGAGTCTACAGAAAAATGTGAAGTAGTAATTCAACATTTTAATGGCAAATATCTAAAAACTCCACCTGGTGTACCAGGTAAGTGTTTCCATTTCTTCTTCACTAAAATAACATCAACATTCCTGAGGCATATTAGTCGATTTAGATTATAGGAATGCTGGAGTACATGCTGAGAGTTGCAATATTATAGGTTTGCTGTTGTGTCTCCCCATCTAAGCAAACACACATCGTTTATTATGAGCAGTGATCATGGTTTGTTTATTTTTGTTGTTACCCTCCAATCCTCGTTGAATTTACAATGTTGGCCCTGCCCTCGTTAGTACTATTCGAACATTTATGTATGACAAAAAAGAAGTGTAAATAATCGCTGCAATAATTTTTACTGTATACATTTTCCATTTTTATTGTATGGATTTTGTTTGAATTTCTCAATTGGGGCAAAATCCAGATAGATAAATAGTATTGGTGTTGTAATGTTAGTTTAAAAAAACAAAAAAAAAACCAAAAAAAAAAACAAGAACAACTAAGGCTGAACTGATATTTCTGTGCTTACTGAGATTAAAGTGACAGGGGTTTCTAAACCTCTTAGCATTTTTGTTCTCCTCTGGACTCTCTCCAGTTTATCCACATCTATCTTAAATTGTGCTGCTTGCAACTGGACACACTACTGCAACAGAGGCCCCACCAGTACCAGGTAGAGCAGAGCAACTACTTCCTTTGTCCTACAGTACCACACTTCTTTCTGATTTACTTTCCCCCCCCCCCCAGTTTGTTTTTACTTTCCACATTTTACAACACTTGGGTGAAATCCTAACCTTACTGCAATCAGTGGCAAAACCCCCATTGACTTCAGTGGGGCATGATTTCAATCTTTGTGCTTAGTCAATTTCGCTATGGTCAGTTTCTCCTGTTGCTTGTCTGATTCTCTCTTAGAAGAGGGGAGACTTGGTAGAGGATCTCAAGAGTATTTGTAATATCTGCAGCTACTATAGATTAATTCATTTAAAGTTGCCTATATTTTTGTATTTGTCACTGTCTCCTTAATAACTTCAGCTTTTAGGGTATCTATATAATACATGCTTTTTGTACTTATCTTTTGTTCTTGCAGTGAGTCAATTAAATCTCATCATTTTCTGTTAGAGGCAGAAAATTTAGCATCATCGTATGTTTTCAGTAGCATGAACATGCTGCACATAAGGCTCTGACAATGGGCCTCATATGCCTCTCTGGCAGCACATATGGGAGGTAAAGGAGTGACAGTGTTTTCAGTGAGAATTCCACTGGTGCAGAAGCCACATAAAGGTGGCATATATGGCTCCACATTGTCTCCCTCTTCTCAGCTCCCAAGGGTGGCAGATGGGGAGCAGATGATGGGAGAGCAAGTGGTCATAACACTTTGCAGGCCATGCCATCCCCTGAAGCAGGCGGAATCAGGGGTGTTTCAAAGGTTCTCAAAGCCACTTTTTCAACACTACCTGCTCCTGCACTGTGCTTCCCCTGATTTTATTTCTGGGTTTTCTAGCTACTTTCCTATTCAAAATGTTTTAAGGATAAATACAAAAAGGTACTGACTTCAGGGTTTGCCTTAGGGGGGTGAATATTTGCTTTTGATAAATTAAGGATGTTGATGATGACGACAATGTGGAAAAAGAAACTGAGAGCTGAAGACATATAGTAGGTGCTTAACCATTCAGCTGTGGATGTTTTAAATAACTTCTCATTCATCACTAGCCTGCATAGCAATGTATAAATTGTTATGGCTTGATTTTGCTGATTTCATTTAGATATATTTGTCCAAGGAATATAGTCAAGTTGGAAATAATATATAATGCATGTGGGTTATATATACATTCAGACGTGTATATACACAATATATATATGAAAGATGATGGCATTAAGCTATGTATTAATAATTTCCATCATAGCATTGTCAGATACTTCATTCATATCTGCTTTTCTTCAGAGCCAGAATGACCATATTGCAGAGGTGATCAAAATGAATCTTATAGGCCTAATTAGGCCTACAGTTATGCAGTTTGGTTGACAGTTACCCACATTTTTAATGAAAAATTACAGCGTGCAAAAACTACATGTCTTATCATGGAATGATACATCTTGGTCAATATGGCCTCTGCTCAGATCAAGAGGGAGCACAGTATGCTGGAATCTGTAATCTCCATGGGCTATACTTACATTTCATTGCCTTCCTGCCAATTGATAGCACATTAAAGACCCTTGCCAGTCAGTTTCCTTTTGGGAGAAACCAGTGATATGGAATCTTAGAGGGTTTTTTCATTTTTATACCATATACGCTAGTCCTTGAACAGAGGTGGTCACAAACAGCATGCAGGCAATCCTTTCTTTCAGGAATCTCAGCCAAAACCCAATGCTCATATTTCAGGAGCAACTCTGCCCTCAAAGTTGATTCTTGCATAAAAAACCTCTATATCACAAAACTAGCAACAATGCAGCATTTCTTCAAAGACTAAGTAGTGCTAGCACAGTACGCAAATGAACTGTGACAGCACTACCTTGTGACTTCCGCCACACCAACATTAACAATAAATATGCAAACTATGTTATGCAAATTAGGCACAGCTGTCTGGATCCTAGCTTGTTGTCAGTATCATCGTCTGTTGGGCAGTTTAGAAATCACTATCATAGTTACTCTGCTGAGTCTGAGTGCTTGACAACACTGTTTCTTAGCTCCCAGTTCTGCAAAGACTTACACAATATGAGTAGCCCCACCATACTTTCTGGGACTACTCAGAGTATGTGAAAGTGGGAAACTCTTTGCAGGATCAATGTAGTTTTCTAATGAGTTTTCTTGTTTTGAGATGTTTCTTACTGTTTACTACCATTAAACTCTTTCTTATACATTGCGTGTTTCCTTACACGTTTTGGAAAACAAACAATATGCTAATTAAAATACAGTTAACTGCACAACTACTGTATACAGTAATTGAACGATGTGATGTTCATATGAATTATAGTAAAATCACCTCCATGCACAAGTATGTAACTTCTAACACAGGCTATAATATTCCATTTTATGGACTTCTCTCCTTAGAGTATTTGCTGACAGTTTTTCTGATCCAACTGATGTAGGTAATCTGTTTGAAACATGGCATGTGATAGATTTGTGCTGTATCACATTAGGGGCAAAGAAATATATACAAAGGCCTTACTTTTGCCATTTCTTCCTCAACGCATATAGTGGGTTGCAATACAACCCTATCTAATATCATAGCTACACCCGATGGAAGCATTGGGAATAGCAAGGACTCTGTTAGTGCAGGGTTTCAGTCATTATAACCCCACACACTCTATAGGCAAGTTTCAGAGTTAGTCAAGACCAGCTCACACATAGGAAAATTAGATTTAACTACAACATTCTTAATTAATTTAACCCTATGCCTGTATTTCTTCTATTAGTAACTCTTTCTGCTTGATAGAACATTTAAATGATGCTACCGATAAGTTTCCACATTTAAACAATGGTAAATTTTGCATTGCTTTATTGAGCCAAAAAGAGCTGTATAATAGAAGGTGAAAGTTAGAGACAAAGATATTTTTCTTTATTTTTAGTAGTCATTAATTTAGATGTCGAACAGGAACAAAAATGGGATATACAAAGCAATAAAAGTGGGACATACAACAAAATAGGAATCTTGATGAGATAGCATATTTATCTGTATTTCAAGCTGATAAAGTGGAATTGGATTTAAATTATCATGACATGTTCTGGTTGTTCAGCTACAGTATATGAATCAAATCTTATTTTCCAAAAGAGAATTCCCATTTGAGAGAGTTGTTTAATGTGCTTTCTCCTTGTTTATCCTGATCAGTGGTTGTTTGGTTGCAGGGGGTCAGATAGGAAGTGATTTCTCCAATGTTTTAAGAGTTCTCATCTGAGTACCGTTCAATTCCAGGTAAAGAATATTACAATTTATGGAAGAGCCAGTTAGAGTCATGAATAATTTGACTAATTTCACTATGCACTAGACCACCTAGAAGCATTCACTTGATCCTTGTAAGATGGAGATTTGTATCTGCAAACACAGTTGATTTGGAATGATCAGTTTCATCGATTCACATAGAGTGAACATTTCAGCATAATTTTCAAAGCAAGGTGCTCCCATGATCTATATTTTAAAGTCAGTTCTGCTGTATTCATTATTACAGTTCTTAAGAGCTCACAGAACAAGTATGATCTTTTGAATTAGGAAGATATACATTTTTCCTTTCCTTGCCAGTAATATTAGTTTACTTTTTACTTACTGCTAAAAAGGTTTAGTCCAAGTTTCTTCGTATTCACATAGTTTCTCATAGCTGCTTCTAGTCAATTTGTACGTCCCTGTGATAAACCTGTATTTAAGCCTCTCGGTAAAGATAGAAGCATTTTGCTTTATCCTCCCCCTAGCAATTGCTTATCTTCCTGCATGGAGACGCAAGGAGAATCAAATCTCCTAGTGTACTTGGAAAATCACAATCAGAGTTTGAAAATTATCCTTCCAGCAACACAGTCATTGGCATACAAGGAAAATCAGCTCTAGTTATTGTGGTGACCTCTTTATGAATTTCAGTTAAAAAAAAATGAGGAACCTGATAATGTTAGCAGAGGCATGTCTCCATGTCTGTTGTTAAACGCAACTGCTCAAACAGTCATCTGATTGCTAGAAAAAATTACCCTATCTGGTTAGGGTTAAATGCAGTTGATTCAGAATTTTCAATTGGATTCCTAGCAGCTTAACAGAGATGGCACAGAACTAAGCAAATCTCATGTGTTGGACAACATCTCCTCTACCTCAGATTCCCTTTATTTCATCTTCTAGTTATCCATAAGCTTTTAATGAATATCTCATGGGTTGTTAATCCTTTTTAATACCCTCACAGAGGTGTGTCTGATCTGTTCACTTTTGAATACAGTGCACTCCCAACCTGTAAGTTGCCTTGGCATATGAGGTTTCATAACTTTACCAGAAGGAAAAAAAGGTTTCATATATAAGACCCAACTTCTGTGCAACTCTTGTAAAGTAAGGAATGATCCGTTTGAACAAAGCTAGGAATAGACCAGT